AACTAGAGGCGTTGCAACACATGCCTGTATGAGGGATCCACTACTATTGGAGGTTCACTACTGCCACCATAAATAGCCCAAGAGCACTTGACTCTCGGAGAGCAGCGAATGTTTCTCCATGAAATTATTAATTAACTGTACGCCTGCATAGAATTACGAAAGTTATATCAGACATTTAAAAAAACCTGTTTTGAGTAACTGAAACCGTCAGGTCAGAAACCATGTTCTACCTCCTCTATCAAAATCGTAAGATTGGTCGGAGTTGTTATCAAAGATATTCAAAGAACTGCATTCGAAAAAGCGTGTCTGGTTGTAAAAACTCAACACTTTTTACGTCAAATTTCTCAAAAGTAGGTACTGAGCTGATAGAACTTTGTAACTCTGGGGTTCCGACCAGGCTGCATGAATGAGCCCCCCCCCACCCCTTTCCCTTGTTCGAAATACGAAGTGTTATGAATGGTGATATGACGTCATCGTATCCTAGCGAATAACCCTATGAATTGTAAGTCTTGACAGGCGAATGCTGTTGATGGATTGACATAAGAACTCCCCCCCCCCCAACCAATATACGCATAAGGTAATCGAATAGCAAGAATAGTGACTTCACGCTTCGAAGAGTCGAAGAAGTTCCGCTGTGCCCTCAAAATCCCACAGCATTACTGTACAATGAACCTCCTGCGGTTACCCCCCGTGATCTTTTAGGCAATGTTGAAGTGGATTTTTACAGGACTTGCGGTCAGCTGGGATGAAGGGAAAGTGTCCGTGGAATCTCGCACTTCTCCGGCCACACGCTGTGACCAAGCCGACAGATCCATTGTCCGGAATGAACATCTGGCTGCGGTAGGGGGTGGGTGGGACAGGAGAGGTTCACTACTGTCGTGACGTAAGTTACCGCTCACGTAACGGATACCCCCCCCCCCACACACACACACCTTTTCTTATTTAGGTATAGTTCTAGTAAGAGTTGTACGGCTTTTGCACAAAAGAAAGAGTGGGGGAAGGGGGGTGGGAACTATAAAGAATAAGTGTCGAAGATTAGACGTTACTTGAAAGTAAAAGGCAAACAAAAGATCCCCCCCAAAAAAAAACAACAACAAAAAACAAACCAACAACAACAACAACAACAAACAACAACAACAACAACAAAAGGAAATGAAAAATTGAAATGAGGGAGGATAAGGGCGATAGATATGTTATAGGGAAAGAATGAGCATACCACATCAGAGCATCCGCCAACAACCCACTTTCATTTGTCAACAAATCGAGTTGGTTTTGTTTTAAAAGGGTAAATTAGGTGTGTGTGTGGGAGGAAAGAAGGGTAAAACATGAGATGACAGAGGAATGGAGATGGGTATTTGTCCGACAAAGTATTTAATATGTGTCAGAGCGTCGGCTATTCTAATCATATTTTTTTAACCTGGTGCCACTTTGACTGGGTGCGACTCAATTTATATTATAATGAGGCGGCAAGCCCTTTTCAATTCAGAGGTAACGATCGGATCCGATTGTATTCGTCTGATGGAGGCTTTGAGAAAAAAAAGCAACATTAAATCAATCAATAATATTATAGCACTCACGGAACCTCGATGTGAGTCGATTATTTTCCCTGTTTGGTCACTTCTTAAAACAATGTACGTCTTTTACACCCCCATCCTGTATTCTTTTAAGAGGCGTTCTTCGACCATATACGACAGGCCCAAATCGTTTTTTTTCTTTGGTAAGTGTTATACGGTGCTCGCAACTGCTTAAGGTCATATGAGCACATGGAACATACTAAACATTTTCAGTTGGTGGGAAATTTTTAATTTTGCCCCGGTGGCTGCTGAAGCCTACTTTTATCAGTATTTTAGGCCACCAAAGGATCTTTAACGTACGCAACTTGCACACCGACCTCCGAGATTTTTCGCCCTTGTCCGAGAAGGCCAGGTGCTAATCTTTACTGCCATAAGATCAAGGGTGTGGCTGAATGACAGCAGTAAGAAGGAGCCAAGGCTTTAGAAAGAGTTAGGAGCCCACAGGATGGGGTAAAGGAGGTGAGGGGGGGGGGCAGAAAGTGGAGACGAAAGCAGACGACAGAATATTGTTTGAGAGCAGGAAAGGATGTGAAAGGAAATTTTTTTTAGAAAACACACATGTCGTCGCTATCTGGACCAATTGAATGAGAGGCGAACACCTTAACCTCTAGACCACGAGAGATCCTAATCGGTCTGAGAGGTAGAGACCGCGATACTTGATGAAAATAAAATTCTCCTCGCAAGGTAATCGAACTCAGGTATTCTACGTGCCAGGACGCTGTTCCTAACCTCTATACAATAGACACTGGTTGTCAGTTGCATGTGTCCATGGGTATAACTGACGTTGGCCCTTTCGTGTCAGAAATGAGTTTTACAAACAATATAACTGTCTATTTTACTTCGTTATCTGGTATAATTCGACAATACCGTTTTAAAGATGGCTGATATACGAAGTATGAGTGGTGACGTGACATGGTAAACCAAGGCATTGTTTTTAGGAGCATTAGAAACGCAAATTAATTTCTGCTTATTTTTTCACTGGGATAAGGCGCTCGTCAATCTTGGGCTTTTGGAGATATTGGTGCTATCTTAAAGCCTGTTCATTTGTCTTTGAGTTGTGGAAAAATACCCATCTATCTTGAATAGAAGTCTTTTGCAATTGAAGAAGGCTGGGGTCGTCTGGTGTCAGAGGTAAGATAAGTGAGAATATGGCGCCGGCGTTTGGTGACTCCCAAAGCGTGTGTGTCCATTGGAACTGTACTTTTACATTTTTTAGTATCTCTGATCAATGTTTTTCAGTCGCATTCACACTTAAATGCGTTTTAAAATGGACTTAAAAGGTGTTGAGAAAAATAATAGATACATATGAAAAAAAATCAGTATCATCATTTTGACGAACGCCTGGTTTTACTACGATACCACACATTTTGTTTCTATTATGTGAGTGGAATTGTTCTTGGCATTGATCACAGACTTTGCACATCAAAAGGTTTACATTAATCTCATATCTAAAGCCTGACCCTGCAAGATTAACTTTAAATGACGAAATGTAAATGCTTTTCATCGAAAGAATATTGATTCACATGTCTTTCAAGTGGGCTATGACACAAACCGTATGTGATTCTGGGCGCTACTATTTCCGGAATGATGATTATTTGGTGACATTGCTTCCTGTTAGCATCCCCACCGAGGGCGTTGTTGAAAAAAAAAGAAGTGGAACGTTTAAACCAATCACCATCCCCTTTCATTACGTCTGTTTTATCACATAATGACACTTCAACTTGTTTCAAATGTCCTGCCTGTCGGGATTTTTAAAAACACATTATATTACAATATGATTTGGCTAGTGTAAACGCACTGGATTGCCATTCGTGTAATGTTGCATGCAGTCTGTGTGCGTTTTAAAATATAAGTGTTTTACGCCTCATTAACACAGTAAAGATCATTTCGGGTTGAGAACGATACTCAATCCCAGTAGAAAGACCGAGATTATATTCAAATAAAATTGTTCTCCCCACTCGAGATTTGAACTCGGGTCTCTTGCTGGCGACAGCAAAGCGCCTAACCGCTACACTATAGACGCCGGTAATCTGAGTGCGGACA